TATCAAAATATAAAGATAAAAATATAAATAATAAAATAGAAAATAAAATAATAAAATAAAAGTAAAATAAAATAAATAAAACAGGTAAGAGTTGTTACTTGTCAACTATGTAAGCTACAACGTAGTTGAAACTGTTACATTTACTTTAATAAAATTAATTTTATCATTATAAATTGCAAATTTACAAGATGATATATTTGATTTAATAAAAATTTTATTATTGATAGTTCATCATAAGTTTTATAGTTATCTTTTTATCACATTCAACATCATTATTATTATTATAAAAAATTATTAATTCAATCATACTTATTACTGTTAAAACTATTAATTGTAATTTAGAGAGATATGTATATTATATTTTTAACTTTTTAATTTCAATTTCAGGAAGAGAAAGTAAGTCAAAGGTAAGTAAGAATATTATCTTTTTTTTAAAAAAAATTAAATAAATAAATAAAAAAAATAAAAAAGACTTATACCTATATATATATATCCATCATGATCTTGAGAGTATATTTTAACTTATTAATTTTGATTTTCAAAAAGAGAAGATAAATAAAAGGTAAATTAAAGAATATATATTTTTTTTAAAGAAAATAAAATAAAAAAAAAACTTATACCTATGTACGTATATCTATCACAATCGCAAAATTACTAATTCTGATTCCAAGAAGAGGTAAGTATATTTTAACTTCCAATTCTGATTTCCAGGAAAAAAAGATAAATAAAAAGTAAGTCAAAGAATATTTTTTTTAAAAAAATAAAAAAAGAAACTTATATATATACTCATCATAATTATGAAATTGTTTATTTTAATTCTAAGGAGAGATAAGTATATTTTAACTTATCAATTTCAATTTTCAAGAAGAAAAGATAAGTAAAAGGTAAATTAAAAAATATTTTTTAAAAAAATAAATAAATAAATAATAAAAAAATAAAAAAAGACTCATATCTATATATGTATGTTCATCATGATTATGAAATTGGCAATTTTGATTTCAAGGAGAGGTAAATATATTTTAACTTATTAATTTTAATTTTCAAAGAGAGAAGATAAGTAAAAGGTAAGTTAAAGAATATTTTTTTAAAAAAAAAATAAAAAAAAATTCATAATGATTGTAAAACTATCAATTCTAATTTCAAGAAGAAGTAAGTATATTTTATTTTACCAATTCTGATTTTCAGGAAGAGAAGGCAAGTAAAAGATAAGTTTAAGAATATTTTTTTAAAAAAAAATTTAAATGAAAAAAAAAATTAAAAAAAACTCATATATATACCTATCATAATTACAAAATTGTCTATTCTGATTCTAAAAAGAGATAAGTATATTTTAATAAGTTAAAAAATGTTTTTTTTAAAAGTAAAAATTAAATAAAAAAAATAAAAAAACTTATATCTACATATATACAACCATTATAATCTTAAAACTATTAATTCTAATTTCAAAGAGAGATAAGTATCTTGTATTAATTCAGGAAAAGAAGATAGATAGAAGGTAAGTAAAAGAATATTACCATAATTTACTGGTCAAAAATTCTGGATACCTTATATCTTACTTTTCAAAAACTTGAGTTGTACTCAAAAGAATATTTTATATAAAGAAAAGTATTTTGCTTAGTATGGATTTTTGTTTAGAGGGTACAAAATAAGGAGAATACAAATTATAGTTTTCTTATATAATATTTGTATGTATTATACATGTCAAAGTACATTAAAATTTTTTTCAAATAAAATTACTTGAAACCAGAACCTTTTAAAATGAGTAAAAATTACAAATAAAAAAAAAAAAGTTGAAAGACAAGAGAAAAGTTGGCAATATTAATATTCTTTGAAAGAAATTTTCAAATTTCTAAATGTAGTATAATAGTAAAATTTAATATAGAACCTAAACAATTGAGAAACCGACTTAACAAAAAAGAAAAACTTTAATTAGCAAAACCACATATTAAAAAACTTTCTACTTGTATAAAACCTTGATATCCAATACTTGAAACAGAACTTTTCAAATGGATTAAATCTTTGCACTTTAATTAAAAAGTGATTTCATGTTATATAATATAAGAAAAAGCTAAAATTTTATCTAGAAAATTACAATATACTACAATATATCCTAATATATTAGAATGCAAATGAGATAATAAATGGTTAGAGAGATTTATGTACCATTATAAACTTAGTAATCATCACCATACAACAATAGCATAAAGGTTATCAGAAAATTTAATAGAAAAACAATATGAATTTTTAAATTTTATTCTTTATCACCATATTCAATATAATTATTCTTTAAGTTTAATTGGAAATATAAATGAAACACCCTTAACTTTTGATATGCCTAACAATATGACAGTAGAAAAAACAGGTTCAAGGACAGTTAGCATATGTACTACAGGGCATAAAAAATCAAATTTTACTGTGGTACTTTCTTGTATAGCAGATGGTACAAAATTGTCACCATTAATAGTTTTTAAATTTGTAAATGTTCCATGACAAATTTTTCCATTAGGTATTATGATTCATACAAATTGGAAAGAATATATGAATTTGGATGAAATGATTTGGTGAATTGAAAACATCTGGGATTAATGTGCTACAAGATCTATTGATCCTCATTCATTACTTGTGTTAGATTCATTTCATAGTTATTTAACAGATTCTGTAAAAAATAGATTTGATGAAAAAAATACAAATTTGGCTGTTATTCCTGGTTGTCTAACAAGTAAATTACAACCACTTGATGTAAACATCAATAAATTATTTAAAAACAAGGTATTTTTTATTCTATTAATTTATTTTTTATTAAATTTATTTATTATTTATTAATTTTTTGAAGTTATTAAATTAAAATTATTGAATTTTATAGTATTGTCAATGTTATAATGATTGGATGGCTGAAGAAATAAAAAAATCAACTCCAACTGGATATATACAATGTCCTGCATACAATTTAGTTGCACAATGGGTAAAAATTTCATGGGACAAAATTGATCCAATGCTTATACAACGTTTATTTAAATGATTGTGAAAATAATAAATCGATGATAATCATAGAGATAAAGATGACAAAAATAATAATAGTGATAATAGTAATAATAGTGATAATGATAGTGATAATAATAGTAATAATAGTGACTCTAGATCGCACCTCAGGTGATTATAATCTATGATTATAATCTATGTGATGCACCTCAGGTGACGATTCTCACCTGAGATACCTCAGCTACAAGAATCAATCTCAGGCACAACATATATAAGTAATTGTTTAATAGACTTCAGGAGGGGGGGGGGGGTTCAGATGTCTAAGTCTTGCATAATTTAGATATTCATTTAACATCATTCCCCACCATTTTCTTTTATTCATTGTAAAACATATTTCTTAAATTTATTGTATTTTTATTGTTAAAAAAAAATTTTTTTAAGATGTAAAAAGGACATTGCCTGAGTCATGTGATGTGGTTGCAAATTTCGTTAATATTAAATTTAAAATTTACATTTATTTATTTATGTTATTGTTATTAATATTTACGAGAATCAAAATAAAAATAAAAAATAAAAAGGTACATTTTACATTTTATTAACCTTCCCCTGTTTAACATCCTCATCATTATTACTATTATTATTGTTGTTGTTTGGTACCCATAATTTTATCTCAGGAGGTAATTCTTCTTCCGCATAAACCCTATCTGCAAAATAAATCCTTCTCAATCTACAATTAGCGTGTATTTGTACCCTTAAAGTTTCAACATAATTTGTACTATACGCACGACGCGTAAAGTCAGCTAAATTGAATTGAATTTGGTTCCATCCTTCATCTAACCGCATAGGCATGGTACATATATAGGGTTTGGCGCGTGTTACAAACTAGATGTTTTTGTTAAGAATTAGTTATATTTCTTACATTTCATATATTTCTTATATTTCTTATATTTCATATATATTTCATATATTTCATATATTCTTATATTTCTTATATTTCTTATATTCTTATAATTCTTATAATTCTTATAATTCTTATATTTCTTATATCTCTTGGGATCTTTAATAATTTCAACTATTAAATACAAAAAAAAAAAAATTTATTTTTCACCTGAAAGTTTGATGCTCGAAACCTTCTTATCATATTTTTATCATCCATAATCTGAACTTCTAATGTGAATAATTTTTTCAAATTTTTTACTATGAGTACAAGAATTGGTAATTTAATCCCTAGAGTACGATTAAATTGTGCTGGACAAGTTATGTAGGTATCGATAATATTAGGTGACGTTATTTCTATAACCATAGAATTTATATCCTCATCCATCACACGTGAGACGTGACTTTCCTCATGTTTAGTATCTGTTTCTGTATGCCATATTTGAAATGGTTTGTTGCTAAGGAATTAAAGAAAATTGTAAAAATACAACACATATATACAATATATACAGTAGTAGGCATAAAGAAAACAAAAAAAAATATTATTAACTAAAAGTGAATCGCATGAGTATTGTCCTGTGTATTACGCAATTATACGACCAATTTTTTTTTGATTTTATTAACTTTCGGTCAATTCCTTATCTAGGCTCGCGTTGAAAAACCCTATAGAATGCTACTTTAATACTTCTTTTAAGCTAAGCTATGAAATACACGGAAAACAAATTAGTTTCATTTTATCAAATAAACAGTTTATTGAAGTCTTACCCGATGCTGTAAAGAATTGAAAGAAAACCCGACTAAAAGATAAAAAAAAAAAAGGGAGGCATATTAAATTTTCAAGTTAAAATTCTTTTAACGGTTTAGTTAGAATTTTACCTGGAAAGTGTTTCGAAACATTTGTAAAATCGAAAAAAAAATGAGTTGACCCAAAAAACGGAAAACACAACACAATAATCCGGATTGTGCCAAGATGTTTTAAAGTGATTTTCATACATATGAAAAAAAAATTAGATAATCACAATTATTAATAAATATTTTTTTTCTTTGCAAGAAGGAAAAAATGTAGTAATGTATGTAGATCAAGCATATTTATTACAAAATTGATTTCCTTAGAAAGACTTTTTTAAAAGAATGAAACGGAAATGTCTCGTGTCAGATTCGAACTGACGACCGTCTGTGTGTTAGACAGACGTGATAACCAACTACACCAACGAGACCATTAATAAAATTGTTCGCCTTTTTTGAATATTTTGAATTTTTTTTAAAAAATGAGAAATTTTAACCGTTAATTACACATCAATTATTTTTCCCAACCTTGAATAAATAACATCATACTAAACAAAAATATAAATAACAAAATATGTAAAATAACAAATTAAGAAATAAGGAAATACAAAGATTTGATAAATTTTAGGTTACATTTTTTTTTTTTTTAGTAAAGGAATATTTTTCCAATTGTAAATAATGCTTTTTCAAATTATATATACAGAAATTATTAAATTTTTCAAACATCATCTCTATAATAATTCTGTTCTTCCAAATAATGCACTAATACTTTCACCATTATGTATTCGTCTTACTGCTTCGGCAAATATCGAGGCAACGTGAAATACTCTTATTTTAGAACATCGTGACATATGTTCTTCCTGAGGAATACTATCACTCACAATAACCTGATCGATGACGCTCTCTTGTATTCTCTTGATTGCATCACCACTCAGAATTGCATGAGTGATAATCGCATAAATTTTTTTTGCACCATTTGCATTAAGAACTTTGGCAGCTTTGGTAATAGTAAGAGATGTATCTGCAATATCATCAATAAGGATACAAACTTTATCTTTAACTTCACCAACAAGCATCAAATCTGTCTTATGAGGTTGAATCTGTGACCGACGTTCTTTATGAATTAAAGCAAAATCCATATGAAGTTTATCAGCAATTGCTGTAGCTCTTCAAAAAAAGGAAAATAAAAAAAAAAATATATATATATATATATATATTTATACTCGAGATTAAAAAAGTAATAAAATTATTATTATTATATATATATAAATAAATCAGGAAATCTATAATGACAACCTACCTTTTGGCACCACCAGCATCAGGTGAAACAATTACTGCATTTTCATATTTTGAAATATTATTTTTGATATATTTGATCATCAAGGGTTGACTATATAAATTATCGACGGGAACATCGAAAAAACCTTGGAATTGTGGGTCATGAAGATCCATAGTCATTATATGATCAGCTCCTATAAAAATATAATTAATTAATTAATGTAATTTGATCTTTATATTGAATACTGAAAATATTAAATACTAAATATATTAACCTGCACAAGTTAAGAGATTTGCGATGAGTGTCCCTGAACGAGCAATCCAATGTTTATATCCCGCATTACGACTTGAACCACAAGAAAAATTGGATTGTTCTACATCAAAATTTTGTTGTTCATTTCTTTCCGTCGCAGCAACGAGTGATTCTTTTACTTCACTTACAGGAGTTGGTAATATCGAAGAATTCCGAATGTATCGTGCTCCATTTTTCTTATAAGGAGCATCGGGTTGTCTCGAGTATGGAAAGCAGGGTATCACGGCAGTCACCTTTTTAGCAGAGGCAGTTTTACACGCGGAAATCATGATCAAAAGTTCCATAAGATTGTCATTTACGTGACCACAACCCGATTGTATAATGTAGACGTCCTTTTCTCTTACACTTTCACGAATTTCTACATTGGTCTCTTTATTTGAAAATTTTGATAATTTCGCACGTCCAAGTTGCACATTTAAACGAGAAGCAATTTGATCTGCCAAATCTGGATGCGAGGAACCTCCAAAAATTACAATATTTCTCATTTTTTTTTTTTAGAATCTCCTGTCACCCAGATATGTCACACTATTATATCTCAAAGATGGTTACACAAACATTCCTCTTTCTATTTATTGTACACGATAGTTTTCTTTTCATATGTTCGACTTGTATAAATCGACAGTTATAATTTATTGATAATTTTTCACACGAAGTGATTTTTAAATTAATTCATATTCGAGGGATACAAAAAAACACGATCATTCAAAGATAACATTAAAGTAAATGTTATTGGTGCGGTCTTACTACAGGATTAATTTTGCAACGAAATGGATATAAAGTTCAAATTATTGCTGAGCATTTTCCTGATGATTTAATGATATCAATTATTCTAGCCCTTGGGCTGGTGCCAGTTGGAGGCTACTGAATAAAAGTATATAACTTATCAAGAAATTTATATTTGATATATTTTTATGTTCTTAAAGAATCAAATCAATTCATGTATTATTTCTTCATTTTTATTCAGAATTTAACAAAAAATTTTTGAAATACTTATAAAATATATTTTTAATAATTATAATGAAATAAAAATATATACATTGTATATTTAATAAATAAAAAATTAAATATAATTTAATTATTTTTAAAAAAATATTGATGTTTTATTTATATAAAAGATATAAAAATATTGAGTAAAGTCAAATCAACCTATATAAAAAATAATGAGCATTTGTTGGTTGAATATTCACATGGAGGTCAATGCTCTTAGTGACCCATGTACCATATGTATGGATTTTATTTAAGAAAATATTTAAAAAAAAAACAAATATAAAAATTACAGAATCTATCTTCTTGACAATAAGCAGAATAATTTAGAACAGATAAAACTATTTAAAAGGTCTTCCATGCAATCTATTAAGAACTACATGGAAGATATAAAGTAACAATTGGATTTTATCTGTTAAAATAATAAGATTTTTGATTATTTTAGTCACTTTTATGATCTCAGATGTAAAATTATCAAAAGAAACTATTACAATAACTATTGAATCTTCTCCATATCTACAAACAACTGTTTCATGTGTATAAATAACTTCACAACCTATAAATTACATTAATTAAAAAAATAAAAAAATTAAAATAATCAAAAAAAATAATATAAAAAATGAATACCTATATTTGTTGTTGATTAATTTTTATATTGAATTACCAATGTGATTTTTTTAACTTTACAGAGAATATCAATTCCTCCATTACCTGATCTCTTGAAAAATTAGATACAGTAATAATAAGTACTATATCATTATTGTCAACTAAACAGAAAATACATACCAGAATATTCTATAGTTGATATTTTTAATACTAGTACATATCCTAGTTATTATAAATTTCCAGTTACTTAAGTAATCTTGAAAACATCAAATTGAAAGAATAAAATTTCACATATCATTGTGATTATGAAATACTTTCAATTCAATTAAATGATGTGACAACATAATTTCAGATACATAATAACTCAATAATACCTAGTGATAAAAAACTCATTCTATATACACAACATCAAGTTTATAACTTTTCAGTATTTTCACAGGTCAAATAAAAAAGAATTGTTGTACTGAAAAGAAATTTCAATTTTAGCTAATTTATAATATATGATACAATAGGATAGTCAATTTTTAGTAATTTAGTCAATTTATAATATAAGAATTACTATTTAATATAGTGATTCTTTTGTATTTAGCTAGTGACTTTTTTCTCAAATATTTTTTCTCTTAAAAAAATATTAGACAAAAAAATATTAGAAAAAAAATATTTAATATTATTATCTTATTGCTATTTTCTAAATTGGTTTAATTTGACTAATCGGTAATACAAAAAATTACTGTAACTATTGTAACTAACTAAAAAATAATAATCTATAATAAAAATTTGTCAAATCAATAAGAAAATCAGTTTTTATAATAAATTATAATACCTCACATGTTTATATATGTGCTTACAAAGTTTGAAAAATAAGATATATGAACCTTACTTCTTGATTACAAAGATTACAATTTCGATTTCAAAAGACTACTAAGATTATTAGACTATGTTATGTCCATATAGTGAAGATTTACATTGGAGAGTAGTTTATTTAGAAAGTGAAAATTATAATAAATATAAAATTGCTAAACTTTTATTTATTAGTATACTTACTGTCTATTATATTTTTAAAACTTTTTCAAAATAGGGTTGTGTAGCAAATCTATTTAAAGAAGTATCAGGATGTAAGAAAAAATTTTCAAGAATAGAATTACAAATACTTCAACAGTTGATAAAAAAAAAAGTTGACTGGTATTTAGATGAGTTTTTAGTAGAAATGGAAAATCAAACTGGAAAAACTATATCCGTATTAGTATTTTGGTATTTTTTATACTATTGTGATATAACTTATAAAAAGGTTATTATTTTTTTTTTTTTGAATTATAAATTCTATAATATTTTTATCTAATATTATTTTTTTTTATAGTTACAAAAAACTACACATGAAAGAAATGAACTAGTTCATAGTAATTTTATAGCTAAGATTAGAGTCAATTATGTACCTGAACAATTAATTTTTCTTGATGAAAGTGCTAAAGATAAATATACACTTTCACATCTTTATAGATATTCTTTTACTTATACACGTACAAGAAAAAATATAGTTTTTGTTTGTGAAAAATGTTATACAATTTTTTCAGCACTTACAGTGAGGTATCAAAAGTCACCGGACAGTTGAAATTTTTTAAAAAAATCACTAAAATTAAAATACTAATTGTGCAACAATGAGTAATCTAAATTGCACAAACTTTTTTTTATTAGATTTTCTTACACTGGGGCTATCATATGATATATTTTTTATTAAAATTAAATGCTTATATGTAGAGAAATTGCACTTCAAATAAAATTGAAAAAAAATTATAAATTT